AGACTTTACATATGATCTTTCATTTTGTCATTACTTATATCCCAAAATGTAGATACTATTATTACCCCCATTTTACAGCTGAGGAAACCAAGGGTCAAAGGAGTTAGCAGCTGGCCCAGGGCCACAGGTCTAGTAAGTGGGGAGCCTGGAAGTGACGCAGACCTGTCTGACGTGAGAGTCGTGCCTGTACCTGCGACGTCATGTTGCCCCAGCACCTGCTGGTGGAGGGATGAATGAATGAGTGAGTGAGTGAGTGCTCTGCAGTCCCTCCAGAGAAGCCCTCTTTCCCTCTCCCTGTGGAGCGTCTTAGCTCAGGCATGAGGGAAGCTGCCATCTGGAGGGTGAGCAGGCATTGGCCAGAGGAGGTGGGGGTGCGGGAAGAGTGTTCTTGGCAGAAGGAACAGCATGTGCGTGCAGAGGCCCTAGGGTGAGAGGGAGCCCGGGGCAGCTGGGAACTTTCTGTGAGAGTGAAGCGTAGCCTGCAGATAGCAAGGGCTGAGGCCAGAAGGGCAGGGACCTTGTTGGTGGGGGAGGGGCTGTGGAAGGATTTTAGGCAGGACAGCAATGTGGCTGGATTGGCAGTTAGGTGGCTGCTGTGGCTGTTGTAGGAGTCAGGTGACCGTGGCCTGGATCAGGGAGGGGCAAAGGAGCCAAGTGAGGCTACGGCGGAGATTCAGGGTTAGAGTCTACCCTCAGAGACTCTGCTTTTGGACTTTTTCCCTGTTTTTTAAAGAAAATGCTTGCGAAGTATCTCAGACATACACAAAGGTATGAAGAACACCCTCCAGGTCGCCACGCGGGCTCAAGGACCGGGACGTCTGCAGCTAGCTGATACTCCTCCAGGGCCTCCCCACTCCCAGCCGCCAACCGCCCACCCCCGAGAGGTGGCCACCACCCGCCTGAGTTTGTGTTTCTCTCTCCCATGCATTTCTTCGTGCTTTTACAAATACGTGATCTAGTTTTGAATCTTTGCAACTTTATGTAAATGGTATCTACTGTTCTGTAACTTGCTTTTTTCCTCAACATTATGATTAAATAAAAAGATTTATGATTGGGGATGGAGAAAAGTGGGCCCTTTCAAGAGATGTTTAAGGAGTGTTAGTAATAATAGTAGCTGACACCTGCATCACACTTCGTGTGCCGACTCTACCCTGAGGGCGTTGTATCTATTAACTCATTTAATCCTCACTACAATGCTATGTGATAATATTATTATTGTACCTTTTCTTGCTGATGGGGAAACTGAGGCGCAGCAACCTTACACAACAAGGTCACTGGGCCGGTGGAGCCAGGGTGTGAGCCCGGGGCAAACGCACACAGGACTGGGGGTGATGGGAAGGGGGAGATGAGAAGACCCAGCCTCCACCACTGCCGCCAAGCCTGTTCCCTTTCCACCCCACCCTGCCGCCCCTGGAGCTGGCCCTGTGCTGGCCTGTGCAGGGGTGAGCTGTGCAGAGGGCGAGATCCTGACCCTGAAGTCCAGCACTTTCCCTCTGCTCCCCACAGGAAAGAAGCAGTCCCCACCTGGGGACGGGGTTACTGCATCTTCCCCGCATCCTCGCAGCCTCACAGCCACCCGCCTAGGCAGGTCCCTCCTATCTGGGCCCTTCAGTGAAGCTGCCCCACATGGTCTGACACAGCGTGCCAGACCCTCCCAGCCTTCTCCAGCCACTAGAACCTCTTCTGCTGGCCCTCGAGGCAGGCATGCAGCCGGCACTGTGCCCACTTGGCAGACCAACAAACTGAGACCCAGACTGTCAGGGTAGGACCGAAGAATGGGAACGGGTTCTGGAATCAGAAGGGCCTGGGCCAGGGTCCTGGCTCTGCAACTTCGCAGCTGTGTGATCTTAGGCAGGTGGCTTCACCTCTCTGAGCCTCGCTTCCCTCGTCTGTAGAGTGGGCCTCCTTACTTCCCCTGGTTGTTGAGAGGGGTTGTGCAGTGGTTGCATGGTACTTCCTCAGTGCAGGACCTGGCACGCAGTGCATGATAAGGAGGGCACCCACTGCTGGTAGCATCCTTATTACCGAGTGCTGATGAGCCCGGCACGTGAGCGCTGAGCCAGACGGAACCCCGGGCTCCGGCTCCAGGCCCCATGTTCTCACACCAAACCCCACTGCGGACTCCCAGCGCGACAAGCTGTGGCTTCCGAGCCCCCATTTTCCTGCCTCATCAGGAGCGGAGTGGGGGTGACGGCATCGTCATCCCCCCACCGTCTTAGGCTAGGGGCCCACTTGGCATCAGGCTGGAAGCCCACGCAGCACAGCCTGCACCCACAGCAGATGGCAAGGGGAGCGGCCTGTTCTTCTGATTCAGACAGTGGGGCGGGGAGGGGGCCACGCGCGATCCGGCGAGCCCACCTCCTCCCCGGCCTTCCTGTTGGCGGCAGGGCTGGTGGCTCTGACAAAAGAACAGCTTGTGCGCCGCCCTCCTCAGCCCGCACGGTTTCTCCTCGCAGCTGCGCCTGTGTAAATAGCACTCGACGTCCTGTTCCTCCCTGGCAGGTGCTGCCCCCTCTTAGGGGGGGGACGCTCTGGGGGAGAGAGGCTCGGGCTCCAGAGGTGTCAGCGTTGCCCAGCCCCAACGTTGTGGAAAATTCAAAAGGACTTCTGCCTCAGTTTCCCCATCTGTGAAATGGGGACAATAGGCGTACCAACCAAAACGAGTGGCTGTGAGGATTCATGAGTAAATGCATGTAAAGTGCCAAGGACGGGCCTGGCACACTGTCTCATTGGGGCGTGTGCCCCTCATGCCAAGCTTGGCGCAGTGGGAGGAGGGAAACTGGGGATGGAATGGTGCTGGGGCCAAGGAGACCCAGCGCTGAGGTGGAATGCACTCGATGAGCTGATTGCCTCAGCCCAGGGCTTCCTGGAGGTCCAGCCAGCTCAGAGGCAGTGGGTGGTTGGCGCTGTGGCTCCACAGGCCGCCCGTGCTCAAGGGAAGTTTCTTGAGGTAGCAAGCTCCCCGTCAGCTGATGTAGTCAAGCCTCACAGTGTGCATTCAGCTGTTACAGTCCACGAGGGCTGTTACTTCCACTCCTCCATCCTTCATCTGTCCTGGGGATGGACAGAGTGGGGCCGGCTGTCCCTGTTTTACAGAAGGGGAAACTGAGGCTGTGTGTGTAGTCCAGGTGTACTGAGCGGCACACCCGTCCATGCCCCGCCCACCTCGCCTGGCCTCCACCCTGGCCTGGTGGGCCCAGCAGGCGTCTGCGTGAGTGGGCGGCTGTGCCCTCTTACATGGGACACGGCGGGGATACAGATGGTCCACTCTGGGCCAGGCTGGGGCTGCGCCCTTCCCCTTCATGCCATCGTTTAATCCTGACCACAGCCCTGCCAGCTGGGCGTTCCCAGGCCCCTTCCTGTAGATGAGGAAAAGTGACGCCAGAGAGGTTAGCCCACCTGCCCCCGCTCTCAGGCTGGAGCGGCAGAACCGAGTGTCAGTCCCTCCAGCTCCTCAGCGTGAGGTCACATCACTGTCTCTGGTGGCACTGTCTGTGTCCCTTGTGTCGGGCACTGAGCATGGCAGTGACACTCTGCCTGCACTGCCCACCCCACTCCCCAGCACCCTGATGCCAGGGACACATTTATCCCCTCAGTAAATAGCTGGAAAACGGGCTCAGAGAGGTTCAGGGACTTGCCCAGTGTCACCCAGCGAATGACCAGCAAGGCCAGGGCTGGGCCCGTGAGGCTGGGGAGGGGTCCTCTGCACTTGCCGCGCGGCCATCCCTGCAGCTCAGAGCATTTGGGGAATGCAGGGGGCTCTTGTTCTGTTCGGCTTTTGGCACAGCGCCCAGCCCGTATAGGTCCCGGAACATTCTCTCAGTGCAGGAACTAGGAGGATTCAGTGAGCTCAGGTCTGAGGCCAAGTCTGGGGGCAGGGCCCTGGGCCAGGCGGGGCGGGAAGTGCCCGGGCCCCTGGGGAGGAAGCATCAGCCGGCCAGGCCAGCGGGGAACATGGGGGAGGGAGGAAGCCAGGGGGACCGGGAAGGTCTAATTTGGCTCCTAGAAGCTCACTGAATTATGAATCTCCTGCCGATGTCCCCGTGACATGTCTGCCAGAGACTGCCGCCTCCCAGAGTCTGGACTTGTGGCCTCGCCTGCCTTCCTCCACCCCAGAGGAGCTTCCTACAGCAGGAGAGGGGGAAGGAGAGGCCACCCTGGCTCCTGCTCCAATTCTTCTGCCCACTGGGGGCTTAATACAGGAAAAGGGGGACTCTGTAAACACTTTGTCCTCATCCTGGGCAGGCTGGAGTGTCAGAGACCACCCAGGAACACTCTGCTCTAGACAGTAGTTACAGTAAACAGCCTCTGTTTCTTGGCACCTACCACTTAATCATCCCCGCAACCCTTCTAAATAGGTACAATTGTCCTGTGTTGCATGTGAGGAAGTGGGTTCAGAGAGGTCAAGGCATTTGCCCGGGGTCACACAGCAGATTGGTTCCAAAGCTGGATTTGAAACCTGGGCTGTCTGACTCCAGAGTCTGTGATCTTAACCACATGCTACCCTGGAATGGTCACACCACTGAAGCCCTGTTCCAAAAGCCCCTGGATCTGCCCAGTGCCCATACTGAGCCTTGCACCATCTTAGAGAAGCTTGTGGAGTGAATGGACGAAGACTAAGACAGTCCACCCCTTCAAGGGCCTTTCAGTTATGAAGGACTCGGGCAGTGTCTCTCATCCCGGCTGCACGTTAGAACCCCTGGGAGCTTTTACAGGGCGCACTGCAGCCCTCCACCCTCACCACAGGCTGCAGTGTCCTCGAGGGCAGGAGCCAGCCTGCTTTCAGCTCACCATCAGGCACCAGCCCTGGAAACAGCCTGCTAGGCACCCAGGACGCGTTGCTGCCTGAAGTTGGTGTTGCCATCCCCATTTTGCATATGGGGAAGTTGAGGCTCACCTGGGGTCCCTCGGCCGGGGTGGTGGGCATCTCCGAGCCCTGGGCCTCTTTACTTCCTCCCTCTGAGTGACCTCACATGCCCCTTTCTCTGCCCTGTGAGCAGCAGGAGCTCCCAGCCCGAGTGAACATCTCGGCGGCCCCAGCCCCTGCGCCCGCGGCGCCCACCGCCCTGCACTCCAGGATGGACGAGCTGGAGGGGCAGCTGCTGGCCAAGGTGCTGGTGCTGGAGAAGGAGCGCGCGGCCCTCAGCCACAGCGGGCAGCGGCAGCGGCAGGAGGTGGAGAAGGAGCTGGACGCCCTGCAGGACCGCGTGGCCGAGCTGGAGCACGGTGGGTCCCGGGCCCCGCAGAGGCCATCGCAGGCAAGGCCTTGGTCCTGAGATGGGTCTGTGGGGTGGCAGATTCACTGGAAAAATATTGTCATGCTCTCCAGAGGCTAAAGGTAGACGGGATGTGGGGAGGAGGCTGCAAAACCGAAGGGGGACAGAATAATTGAGGGATGTCATTACTGTCATTAGTAACAGTTAGCACTGTCTGGCACTTGTCATTATTATGTTCTGAGAGTGGGCTAAGTCCTTGACACATCAGCTGGTCCAGGGATGGTACTGTTATTATCCCCATTTCACAGATGAGGAAACTGAGCCTCAGAGAGGTCGAGTGACTTGCCCAATGTCACACAGCCAGTAAGTAGTGGATCTAGACTTCAAACCAGGTCTGACTCCGAAGTCCATGCATTTAACCACCCCACAAAAGGGCACCTTCAGTGAATCAGGATTTTTCATTTGTTTAACACCTGGGCCTGGCACTGCCGGGGGTCAGAGAAACATGATGTAATGGACGGTGTACAGGTATGAGCATCAGAGACCTGGCTGCTGGCTCTACAGCTGTCACCAGCTTGCTCTGTGGCTTTGGGAATTGGCTTCCTTTCCCCAGGCCTCATTTCCTCATCTGAAATGAAGATTTAGGACTCATGAGCACTCAGGGATCTTTCCTCTTTGAAACTTTATGCAGACAAGTTAGGGAAACCATGAGCAATTAGTTAAGACTGGCTTAGATGCAGGACAGGAGTTCAGGAGAAGGAAATCCAGGTGGCTTCCTGGAGGAGGTGGACCTCAAGCTAGTCCTTGAAAGCAGAGGTGGAGAATGAATTCTGAAGTGGAGAGGCCGTAGCAGGGGCACAGCTACAGGGGGTTCATAGCCTGGTGGGTTGGGCTAGCATCCTGGCTGGAGCTCAGGGACAGGAAAGGTGAACTCATCCCTCCTGCCCTGCCGCTGGTCCATCTACAGGGTGTCTCCTGAGGGACTGGGGGAAATGCCCCCTCAAGGGGCTGCAGGGCAGAGACAAGGGAGGCAACTAGGCTGGATGTCTGTGTGCCCATGGGCAAGTCATGTCCCTTCTTGGGCCTCAACCTCCTCATCTATGAAATGGGTTTAAAGAGGCAGTCACTGAGGCCCTTCCTCTCTTACCGTGCTGCCCCACATCAGCCTTCACCCCCAGCCCCAACCAGACCTGAGAACCCTGGGTCACCATCCTCCGCCCACCCCAACTCCCAGCCCTCAGCAGCCAGCTGGGGGAGGGGGACACCCGGCTGGCTCCTGCCTCTTCAAGAACCAGGAACGAGGAGGTACCAGGCAGATGGCAGTGCCCGTGGACGCCTACCCTGGAGGTGCATGTGGTGGGTGTTACCCCCCCGCCCTCGGGAGGCAGTGACTCCTCCGTCCACCCCCTGCAGAAAGCCCTCTGATATTCAAGACACAGCGTCTCTGAAACTCTGAGCTGGAAGACACCATGGAGATGGAGGAGTCCCAAGATTGTCCTGTTCAAATCCCAGCTCTGCCACTTCTAGCTGCGTGGCCTTTAGACCGTTCCTTAATCTCTCTGCACCAAGGTTTCTCATCTGTAAACTGAGGAGTATAGTAGTGTCTACCTCGTAGGGCTGTTCCAGAATGAATGAGATAATGTACATAAAGCACTCAGGACTGTGCCTGCCACGTAGGAAGCACTGCATAGTGCTTGTTAGATAAATAGGCAAAGAATGCGAAAAATGGTAACAGCAATAGCTAACATTTCTTGAGCATTTACTATGGGCCAGGCCCTTTACATGGTTTGTCCCTGGGAGGAAGGAAATAGTCTTACCCCATTTTACTGGAGAAACCGAGGCCCACAGAGGTTCAGCTGAACCTGTCGAAGGTCATGCGGCTGCAAGTGGTGGAGGCAGGACTTGAACTCAGGATGTCTCAGGTCCAGAGCCCTTGTTCTTTAGCCACACCCCTCAACACAGATGCGGAGGGAGTAGGGAAGGCCACGGAGGCACCTGGCACTAGCAGGTGCCCAGGGACTAGCAGCCTTCATTCTGGAGTGTGCCCTGCCCACCCCACCCTCGTCAGTGTCCACTGACCCCTACGTGTCCACCTTGCCCCCCCCAGGGTCCTCGGCCTTCAGCCCCCCTGACGCCTTCAAGATCAGCATCCCCATCCGCAACAACTACATGTACGCCCGCGTGCGGAAGGCGCTGCCCGAGCTCTATGCCTTCACCATCTGCGTGTGGCTGCGGTCCAAGTCGGGCGGCACTGGCCAGGGCACCCCCTTCTCCTACTCAGTGCCTGGGCAGGCCAACGAGATCGTGCTGCTGGAGTCGGGCCACGACCCCATGGAGCTGCTGATCAATGACAAGGTGAGCGGGGCTGGGCAGAGCGGGAGGGAGGGGGCCAGGGGCCATCCTTCCGGGAGCCTCTGCACTGCGCTGGGCTCCAAACACATGGGCCCTTTCAGTTCTCCTGCTCAGCATTCTCAGCACCCGTGAAAGGCCTGCTGTGTGCTGCGCTGGGCTCTGGGAATATAAAGACAAGCCAGACCTGGGGCTGGCTGAAGAGGGGCTGTGTCCGGAGGAGGCTGTCAGCGCTGGTGCTCCCCTGTACAGAGGAGACACGTGAGGCTCGCAGAGATCAAGTGACTTCCCCAGCAAGCGTCTGCCCCCAGGGCCCTGCTCCTTCTCCTGGACAAAGAGAAGGAAATGAGGTCCAAAGACCTACCTGGGGAGGAAGGGCGGGAGGTGGACTCCCCTGCCCTCCCCTGCCCCTGCCCTCCTCCTCCCCTGCAGCCAGCCCTTTGTCCCGCCCCTCTCGTGGAGAGTAGAGTGGAGCCGTGGCCAGGCTCTGGGCCTGAATGCTGGATCTGAATCCTGGTTCTGCCTCTCACCCGCTTTGTGACCTTAGACTAGTCACTTACCCTCCCCATGCCTCAGTTTCCTCGTCTGTAAAGCAGGAATGATAATAGTCTCTACCTCATAGGGTTGTGGTGAGAAATAAGTGGCTTAAATACGTGTAAAGGGCTTTGAGCAAAGCCTGGCATTTAGCAAGCCTCGATAAATGTGAGCTGTTTTTATTATCCCAGGCCCTGTGCTAATAACACTTTACTCACATTATCACCCTTGCCCCTCCCAAGAGCATGGAGAGGTAGATACCCTGTTATCCCCATTTTGCAGATGGAAAAGCTGAGGTTCAGAAAGGGCAAATAACGCACCCTGGCCACACAGCTGGTGAAGTGGTGATGATGCGATTCGGGGTCTTGGGCCCCAGAAACCACATCTTCATCCACTGTTCTACCCTTGGGCCACCCATCTTCCTCATACCCGGGCCTCCACCCCCACAGCCCGCCCCAGGCCTGGCTGCAGGGCAGGACAAGGACAGGTCTTGGGTGGGGGGAGTGATGTGGCAGGGGCATGGTGATTGAACGGGGAGGAAGGGGGTCATCTTATCACCCATTCCCCCCAAATATCCTCCCCCTGCCTGCCACACTGCTTTGGGTCTTGCAGGCGTGGTGGTCTTCTGAGACTCCCTGGAAGTGCCTCCACCACATGTTGCACCCACTCATGACCAGCCCACAGCCACAGAGAGCTGCTAGGAGTGGTTGACACCCACCAGAACCCTGTTCAGCAGGAGGTGCCTGTAGTGGGTGTCCTGGAGGAGGAGGAAGGAGATGAGCCCAGGGGGCAGTGAATTTCTCTTGTGGCCCAGTAGGTTCTAAGAAGACCTGGGTAGCTGGACGACATCTTGATCCTGCTGCCCTGTTCCCTTCATGTGCCCCCTGGCTGCCATCCTTGGCTCTGCCCACCCACGGTCAGCTCTCAGTTCTTAGTAGAAGAAATTCAGCACCCTGGACAGGGCATGGGGGCAGCCCTCTTCCCGGACCTCTGGAGTCCTTTTGAGCACTGACCTCACAGGCTACTTACAGCTCCCCTTTTATTCCAGCCTCTAAGCCTTTGCTCCTGCTGTGCCCCCAACTTGGCTTGCCTTGCAGTGGAATAGTCGGAGTCCATTGTCCTTCCAGATGTGTTTAGACTCTGTGTCTTCTGTTCCCACACCCCCTGTTTCTCTGCACCTTCACAGCCTCTGCACCTCCCCAACGGCCTCTGTTATTTTGTCTTGTAACATTGTTCCTGAAGTCCTTCCCTCCTGTGCAGACTCAGCTCATTTACGGCTAGGACCAGAATCCGTATCCCCAGTGTCCAGAACAAGGCCTGGCACCAAGTAGGCCTCAGAGAATGTTGCATTAAATTGTGATCTCAGAGAATGGAGGAGATGAAAGAGCCCTACGGGAGCCCCAACTCCACAGGCAGCAAGTACCTTTCATCTCACAGGCCAACTCTAATCAATCAGCAGTGGCTTCCAAGAGCACCGTGATGAGAAAGATCTGAGGCTGAGCTCATGATTTTTTTTTTTTTTTTTAAAGATTTTATTTATTCATTTTTTTCCCCCCAAAGCCCCAGTAGATAGTTGCATGTCATAGGTTCACATCCTTCTAGTTGCTGTACGTGGGACTCGGCCTCGCGTTGGACGGAGAAGTGGTGCCTCGGGGCGCGCCCGGGATCCGAACCCGGGCCGCCAGCATCAGAGCGCGCACTTAACCGCTAAGCCACGGAGCCGGCCCTGAGCTCATGATTAATTAGTCATGTCTGCCTTGGGTGGAGGAGGTGGAGGTGGCTGTATATTAGCCTTCCCTTGCCTGACCTCCTCGCTTTACAGATGAGGAAATCGAGGCCCAGGGAGGAAAGAGCAGCCTTCCCAAGGTCCCACAGGGGGTTGGTTGGCAGAGCCAGGGCTGGAGACTGGTGCCCAGCCTCTGAGTCCAAGTCTTGTTCCATTCCACCACTGCCAGTGCTTCTTGAGTCTAGCTGTGTGTTGGGTACTGTGTGAGGTATCCAGGGGAAGGTAGGATTGTGGGATGCTGCTCCTGCCCAACGTGACCTTACAAGCCTGTTAGAGAGTGAATAAACTACCTGGGAACACCAACACTGAACAGTCCCTGTGATCTGAGTGAAGCTGCCTGGTTAGGTGGTGGGGAAAGAGGAGAGAGTGGTCAGAAAGACACTGGGCTGGGCGGAAGGGGAGGGTCACGCCTTGGGTCAGTCCCGGGAAGGAAGGCCATGGGTTTCTCGGCCCCCACCCCACTGCTCCAGCCTTGGGCCTTGTGGCACCTCTGACCTGGGGCTTGGGGACCTGTGTCCAGGTGGCCCAGCTGCCTCTGAGCCTGAAGGACAACAGCTGGCACCATATCTGCATCGCCTGGACCACGAGGGATGGCCTGTGGTCTGCCTACCAAGACGGGGAGCTGCGGGGCTCCGGAGAGAACCTGGCTGCCTGGCACCCCATCAAGCCTCATGGGATCCTTATCCTGGGCCAGGAGCAGGTAAGGCTCAGGGTGATATCGGGCCTGAGACCCAAGTAGACATTCCACCCAGGGCCGCTGTGGAGGAGGGGCTAGATGGAGGGACCCTGAAAGCATAGCTGTGATCACTCAGTCTGACCCAGCCGTTATGCCAATGGGCAGAGTGAGACCCAGAGAGAGCAGAGACCTGCCCAAGGGGCTGGAACTTTGGGGCGGGGCTAGAACTTTGGGGCGGGGCTTCAGCAGGGACAGAGGCCTGACTCTCTGAGTCTACCTGTCTTTTCTGCTCCCTCACTCCATGTCTCTCTCTCCTTCCTCTCTGCTCTCTTGGCCCAGGATACCCTGGGTGGCCGGTTTGATGCCACCCAGGCCTTCGTGGGTGACATTGCCCAGTTTAACCTGTGGGACCACACCCTGACACCTGCCCAGGTCCTGGGCATTGCCAACTGTACCGGACCGCTGCTGGGCAACGTCCTCCCCTGGGAAGACAAGCTGGTGGAGGCCTTCGGGGGTGCAACAAAGGCCACCTTCGATGTCTGCAAGGGGAGGGCCAAGGCATGAGGGGCCACCTCATCCAGGGCCCCTCTCTTTGCCTGCCAACTTGGGGACCTTATGGGGAGCAGGGGCATATTCCCTCCTCAGCCTACCCACACTCTGACCTCCCCTCCTGCCCCACTCCTGGCCATGCCTCCCACTTCCCCCACCCATTCCCACACCTCCAGAATGCCCTGCCCTGCAATGGCTGTTCCCTAATCCCACTTGGAAGGGGACAAGCAGCTCAAGTCAACAGGGCAAGCCTGGGGTGAGTCCAGGGACTGACAGGGGGTGGGTGGCAGTGCCCACGGCTCTGTCCACCTGCCTGGCATTAAACTGGAGCCCTATCTTACCCCCACCCCACCCTGTCCCATCAACCACATCTCATTCCACTGATCTTGACAGCATCCCCCACGGGGTTGTGTATGGGGGAAGCTCCCACTATCTCAGTGGCAGGGGTGGCTGTCCACCCCCTGTCTGCCATGCAACAGGCCTGTCTCCTTCCCCTTCAGGGCCACAACAGGCTGTAGAGCCGCTCCCCAGCTGAGAAGGGGGTGAAGAGACATAGGAGACTCAGACTCCTCCTCCATTGTCCCGCCAGCTGCCGGTCAAGGGCAGTGGGATCTTGATGGAGCCTCTCCCCTCTCACCCCCACCCGCACCCACACCCTCCCTCTTCCTCCTCTTTCCTTGTTTTTTTGTGTGCAGTGGTTTGAATGTTGGTCCCATGCTTGGCCAAACCCCACCTCAATTTCCAGGACATTCCCTTCTCAGCTCCAGCCTGGAGGATTAGGGACCAAGACCCCCAGAGGCCAAAGGGCCATAGTCACCCCTGTGCCGACCCACAGCTGTGCCCACTAGCATGGTCACCTCTCCCCCTCTGTGCCCAGGACAGTACCTGGGCCACTGTAGCCTGGGCTGGGAGCAGCTTGAGGCAGAGGCCCTGTGCCCCAGGGGACCCAGGCTCAGGCAGAGCCACATTACCCACCCCCTCTGCATGGTCCTGCAGCCTCTGGGGAAGGAAGGAAGAAGCTGAGAGGGCCGGGAGAAGCCTGGAGTGGTGGGCAGAGCACTGGATGAGGAGGAGGAGCCCTTGGTTCCTAGCCAGCCCTGCTGTGTGGCCTTCTGTAAGTCCCTGCCCTCTCTGGGCTGGCCTTCCTCATTTGTGAGCTGAGGCCCTTGCTTTCGTCATTCCTGAGAGCTCTCCAGATCAAACGTGAGATGGTCTGTGATTCCAAATGGATAGGGAGGGGCAAGCCTGAGAACCTGCCTGGTGACTGAGGAGCAGAGCAGGGGCAGGTCCGGGGACTGAGCAGCAGGTAGCATCTGGCTAGGCGTGGGTCAGGGCCAGCAGCTGGCTCCAGAGAGTCAGGGGCAAGGGCAAAGGTCAAGGCAGACCAACCTCACACACAGATTGTAAAAATCAGCTCTTCTGGATCCCCTCAGCCTGTCACCTTTGCCTGTCTGAGAGTGTCTCGAAGGCCTGGTGGCTTCCTGGTCCCCACCCTTGAGTCCTCACCAGCTCCCCGAAGAGAGTGGAAGAATGTTAAAGCTGAGAAAAGCCACCCAGTCTGACCCCTTGCTTGTACAGATGGGGACGAGCTCAGAGAGGGCAAGTGACTTGCACAGGATCACGTAGCACAATGGGGCAGAGCCAGACCTAGAACCCAGGGCTTCTGACTCCCTCTTCAGTGCTCTTCCCCCCACACCATACTCGCTGCCTGTGAGGGTCCTTGAGTCCAGCCTACACATAAGAGGATGGACATGTGAGAGGTCAGCATCCTTTCCCACATGACCACTGGAACATCTTCTTTATGAAACACAAACATCTGGGCATCTTCCCCCAGGAGGAGCTGGAAGAGAGGTGTGATCTCGGGCCCTCTGGCATGAATAGAGAGCCGAGAATGCAGGTGGCCTACCCCGGGTCTGGGCAGCTGCAGGCTACCCGACTCGAGTGGGCACTGGTGCCTTTTGCCCCCTTTTTAGCCTGAGGCATGATGCAAGAGCTGCGGGCTGTGGGGCCCAGTGCCACGGAGGCTTGTCTAAGACCTGTTGCCTCTAGCCCCCAGGTGCTTGTTTCCGTTTCAAGAGCACAAATAGACCGTTCAGCACCTCGGGCCCAACTCCCCCTAGAAGGAGCGATGGCGTGCTTCAGCCAGAACCTGCGGAGATCTGGGTTGCCCTGGCAACAGCCAATGACATCAGCCCAAGTGCTGGGTCAAGCGTCTCATAATGACATACGCTGTTGCTGGGTGACGGCGGAATTCGGAACTTAGATTTCGGGGACACCAGGCTTTATTGGGTTTCTGTTATTGTTTTTAAGGAAGCAGCTTTGGTGGAGGCCTTGGGGGAAAGAAAGTGTCTTAGGGAGAAGAGGATGGAACTTGATCCCTTGAGCCCACCCAGAGGCATCTTCCCAAGTCCTTTGTGCTTTGTCATGGTGGTGATGAGTCCTCTGACTTCCGAGCCTCGCTCCTGTGCTGAGTCACCCTGGTCAGCCCTCCAGAGGGAACAGGGGCAAATTGGGGGTGTTCAGGTGCAGGCTCTGAGCCTGGGCCATTGGTGAGTGGCCCCAAAGCCCTGAAGGGCCCACCCCTTCATCCATTGATCATTCTTGGGACCTTTGCCGAACACCTGCTTGTGGATTCCAGCTTTGATATCCTCTTCAGCTGCTCGTGGGCACAGCCAAGAAGACAAGGGAAGAGGAGCTAGACATGGTGCTCGGTTGCGTCCCGAGCTGCTCCTGGCTAATAACGATGCTGGAGCCCCTGTTTGTTGCTTCCTTTGTAAGTGTCAGGCACCATGCTGAGCACCTCACGGGCACCGTCTCATTTATCCTCACAACAGTAGTAAGCTAGGACTGTTCTTAGTCCCATTATACAAGTGAGGAAACTGGGGCACAGAAAGGTTAAGTAACCTGCCCACTGTCAATCAGCCAGCAAGTGATGGAGCCCAGAGTTCAAACCAAGGCAGGTTACATCCACAGCCCACCCCAGAGCCCAAGGGGACAGGCGCCTCCACTCCCTGTGGACTGGGATTTGGGCATCATTGCTCCTTGTGGGTTTTGGCCTGAAGGGATGTGCCTGACCCCATTCACCACCCCAATGGGGTCTGAGGTAGAGAAACAGGCACGGGATGGGCTGGTCCCAGGGCCAGGGTCCACTTGGGTGAGGCCGTGGGAGGGGTCCCTCTGCAGTGTACGCACCGCCTCAGACCTTCTCCAAGTGGCTGGAGTTTCCAGAAGAGCTGAAAGGGAAAAGGAAGCTGGACCGCCTCCCGGGAGCCCCAGGCAGGGAAGGGGAGGAAACTGATATTTCTCAAACTCCTGCTTTGAGCCGAGCCCTGTGCCGGGTGCTTCACAGCACTTATCTGCCAGATTTCCCCCCTTTGTGCACGTTGTGCCCCAGTCAACGTCCCCAGGGGACAGATCCCCTCGCTGCAATTGTGCATGGCCTACGACCACAGATTTGGGCGGGAAGGGCTCTTAGAGGAGGCAGAGCCCTTGTTTTATAGATGAGAGACTGGAGCCCAGGGAGGGTGAGCAGCCCTCAGGGCCACCCTGCTGGGACACAGGAGACCTGAACCCAGCCATCTGTCTCTGCATTCAGTGCTCTTTCCATGACACAGTGGCCCCTCTCCCCCCAGGACAGGGTCCCTCCTTTTCTGGATTTCCCAGTACCCCACCCCTGAGCAAGCTGGGGAAGGGACCCCCTCCCAGAGATGGGACCACTGTCTTCACCTCTTTGTCTCAGCTGCCTGCCATCCCAAACCCCACCTCCCTCCAACCCCTGACCCTGCTGAGTGGGGAAGGGGCTCGCGTGGGCCCAGGCTGAGCAGTGAGTGAGCATGTCGAGCTGTCAGAAAGCAGTGCGCCCAACTGGCGACCCACCTCCCGCTCCCCTCCTCCTCGCCGGATTTTGTACATAAAGTGACATGAGAAGCAACACGTGTGTGTGTGTGTGTGTGTGTGTGTGTGTATGATATATGTCATGGCTTTTGTTACTTTTTTGTTTTTGTAAATTTGAAAGTTCAAAATAAACATGATGTTTACTCTGATGCTCTTCTTGCCAGGGTGGGGCTACCCCGGGGGGCACCGGGCAAGGAGGTGGCTACTTGGGGCCGGGCAGTAGGCGAAGACAGAGGAGGTGCCACCTTGGTGCTCCAAAGCCTCACCCAACCCCACCTGTGCCCCCCAACATGACAGGTTGTGCCAGGTCCCAGGTGTAGACATACCTCGTTTCCCAGGATTTATGCAGGAAGGATGTAAAGAACACAAGTCCCACTTGGAAAGTGTCCCAGTTCTGATAACTGGGCTTTGGCCTCATTCCTAACTCCCCATCCCCACCTGGTGCCCCAGTTCTGGGAACCAGGTCCTTGACTTGTTCCTTGAGACCCAGTCTGCCTGAGTCACTTGCCTGGACTCCCAGAGTGTTGCCTCCTTGGGGTCCTAGGGAGATAGGGTAGGGGAGAGGGAGGGATCCTGTTGTGTTTCAACTCGTCCCCTCCCCACGGTCTACCGGGACTCCCCTGACACGTTTGCCCTCTAGACCGGACTCTCAGACCAGTGTCAGGGTCTGCTACCCCCACCCACCTCTCCAGCACCCATTCCTCCAGTGCCCACCCCGTCCCTGGGAGGTCTTGATCTATTCCTCAGCCCTCCCTGTCCACACCATCCTAGGGGCACAACCTCTACCCTCCTGATCCATCAATATTGTCACTGTTCTGGTTTGGACCTTGTCCTCAAATGCAAGAGGGCCAGTCAGAGGTCAGGAGTCACACCAGCAGGACAGTCCTTCCCAGACTTTTCCAAAACTCCCCAAACTTCCAAGATGTGTGAATTCACCCCATGGAGACCAAGGGATATAGCTGGAAGCAGCACTTCAAACAGGAAAACCATATTTGACGTCTACTGAGTTATCTGAAAAATTTCTGTGCTTTCTCATTCTACTCCAGAATGAATCCAGATTTGTTTTAAAATACATATGTTTTTAATTACCACTGAACAAAATTAAGCTGCAGGTAGCTACACCTTGTTTATCTTCTCTCGCGCTGAATTACCTAACACCCTCTCTCCCTCTGTCCCACTCAGCTGGCAATGTCCAACCTGGTTAAATCCTGCTGTCCACCTGCTTTGTGCCAGCACCTGCGCAGCTGAATGCTGATCACAAAAGCACAGGGCTCTGATGTGTGTTGATTCTTATTTTAAGTTCATTGAGAGATCTCTGAGGGTAGTTTCTCCCCGCCCCACAATCTCAGCACACTCTCCCTGGTGAGGGCTTTCTCTCCAAAATGGCTAAAAATCAGACC